CGTTTAATATTCTCTTACCTAAACGACAAATTCTTTATGTGAAACCTATAAACGCGAGCTACGCCGCGGGCACAGCTAGTTCTATATAAATTTGGTCAACATCGGATTATCAACATGAGAAAATCAAAATTTTCAATTTGCAAAGGCATTGCATGGGCAAATAAATTTTAGCACCTTCTCGTCTATTTCTTTGAAGTCGGTTCATACCGCTCGAACGATGTGTGGTGTTCCCGTAGTTATGAGAAATCGTTAATACGAATTAAATGACCTATTATAGAATTAAATTTTTTTTTATTACATAGTCGTTAAACTACATCATACGTGGTAGAGCCATGCTGCAGCTATATTAATAGTATAGTTGTAGCACGAATGGGTCGGCTGGACCTGGCAAGGACTACGCTCTCACAGAATATTAGCGTAAAATAGCGGCTTAACACTGTCGTGTTAAGCTGCTATTTTACGCTAGCAGTGAATGTAGAGAACCGGAGACCTTTTTACTAGAAAAAAAGCATTCCATCTAAGTCTTACGAGTGACAACGCATTTGCATTTTGATTCTTTATTAACGAAAGATGTAGATGTCTATGAGTCAAAGTAATCACTTACCACCAGGTGGACTATGCTCGTTTGTCGCCTTATCCTATAAAAATGCACTTTTACAGATTTAATTAATTTATTACTGATTACAGTAGAAGCCCTATCAGCTTTTTTAACGCTGGTCATCAAACACGGGTATTTTTGGGTGTTTTAAATCTGATATATGTATACGAAAAGGATATGAGATATAGTATATCAGAGAGGATAGTGGTTTTTATTATATAAAAAACAATCCTTTTATTACAGCCCATCACAAGTCCATTGCTGAACATAGGCTTCTCCAAAAGAATACGATCCACAAACCACAAAACACGATCCTAAGCCACTTCCCTCCATTAACGTTCTGTTGTCTTACTAAGCCGTCACTACATTTAATTGGCGGCCGCTCTACACTTCGCTCATCGGTATAAGGCTCCAGAACCATCCTTCTCTGTCGGTTGTCGGTTTTTCGAGCTATATGGCTGATCCATATTATGTAAATGCTAAAACTAAACTTAGTGAGTAAATTGCCTTGATTTTGCACTAATGTAATTTGCCCTAGAACGAGGGTAATTTTTTCCAATGTATGTATGTATGTACATACATACATACATACATTGGAAAAAATTACCCTCGTGTCTGTCTAATTATTTGGCACGCTCTGTAACCAAAATAGCGTGATGGATCTAATAAATAGAGTATTGTTACAATCCTTTTAGTTGTACAAGTGACAGTGGAATATAATTTTTTTCTCTTTTCAGAAAATTTTTTACGCAATCGGTTGCAACTTTGTAACCCTCCCACGCCATTACATTTACCCTCAAATCGTCAGATTTTATAAACGCACTCTTTTTAGCCCGTAATTAACCCACCTTACCTTAATGTAACGCACTTGAGTAAATCCAAAAAATGCACTCTTGGGTTCCCCTACTATAATTTATAAACATAAATTGACACAACGTAAAAAAAATCATTGAATTGTTTCAGATGCTGCTTAAGGGACATTCAAAGTAAACGGAACTCATTAATACAACGAAAAATGTAAGTATACATAACACGATATTCAACAGTCTTCTAACTTTTGATACAATCGCCTACGTGCAACAATTTCTATCAACACATTATTAAATCAAATAAAAAATCAGAGATCGCTTGATTAGTTAAAGGTTTTGTATGAGAAATCATGCGTATATGTCTATTTCAGTTTACCTTCTTCAACGAGAATATACACTCATGATTTTCATTTTCTACACATCTATAGCATAGTACGTTTAAAATGATATAAGTTTCGGTCAACGGTCAACAATTTTCGATGTTTTGATCAGTTATTTACCAGAAGTAGGCGTACACATAATACACCAAAGAATAAGCGAAAATAATAGAAATAATATGTCCCACGTACACTAACAAAAATTTTAACTTAGCACAAGTATCAAAATTAAATATTTAACTTTCTCACACTTTAAACCTTTAACGTTCTCGCACTTTAAATGTTTACCTATTTCGGGTAAATCGTTAATTATTCAGAATATTACTTTTGTAATAAAATGGATAGTCAATTGCATTGAATTTATTTAGGGAAAATCGTTATCGATACCCGTAACAAAACAAGGTCTTTGACATGCTCATATTATTAATGTCGAAATAAAACGAGATCATAACAAACTTTGTTTTAATAAATATCTATTTACAGTCCTTATAAGATCAGTCATGAATATTATTTATTTTAACCTTTGTTGGATTCCCTTTACCAAAAAAAGAAAATATAGGAAGAACTTGTTACCTTTAGACATTCTTTAAAAGACAACTTATAAAGCGGTGAAAATTAAAAGCGTAAATTTTTGTAAGAGTACGTCCGCAGGTAAATATATGTAGTAGAGCCTGCAGCTGCAGGTGACTGAAACCCAAATGGGTCAGCTCGATCGAGAAGACTACGCTCATACGGAATATAATAGGAGCATAATGCTATGGTGTTTAGCACACAGCTCACCTGATGGCAAGTGGACACTGTAGCCCATAGAGATCTACATTTATCCTCGATTGAGAATCAAAATGCAGATGCGTCGTTACCCCTGATAACTAAGATGGAATGCCTCGCTTCCAATAAAAAGGGTCTCTAGTTCTCTACACCCACCATACGAAATTGAGTTGCTATTTCATACTGGTATTCTGTGAGAGCGTAGTGCTCCCTCAGTCCACAAGAAAGACAATTCATCTACATTTGATCCTTATTCGGGGATGGATGTATGTCTCTATGGGCCACAGCATGTACTCACTATCAGGTGGACTGTGTGCTCATGTGTTATCCTGATTTCTATAAAAGATATTAATTAGACGATTATCCCATCTCAGCAAGTGTAGAGCTAGCTTTGCACTGGTAATGTTTCTCCCTACTTCCAGCCTGTAAAAGTGGGGTTTATTAAATAAAGCTTTCATGATAATAATTATTATAGTGATACACAATTCCACAGCTAAATCTTTCCACCAAAGAATGCTTGTGGCATACCCGGATATGAGCAACCTTCATGCTTTGACTTCCCGTTTATTAATACTGATGTTTATCACGACCGACTAATGGAACTTCCGTCGTCGGAAATCATCAAAACTAAAACTCGCAGACTAGGGATAGTTAGCTGCAAGACCGACCCTCTCTTCCCCCTTTAGATGCATAGCACATTAAAAAATGCATAACAGCTAGTGAATTTAGAAAAACTAAACGTTAGTACTATTACTAATTATATGATGAGGTGCTACTACTTGCGCTATTTTTAAATGAATGCCTTATGATAATAATTAAAAATTAAAAATGTTGTACAACCGACTTCAATATAAATTATTAAGAATAAATCAAAAACTATAGGTTTTTTTTTAATAGGATATGGTGATAAACGAGCACACAGTCCACCTGATGGTAAGTGGTTGCTGTGGTCCATAGACACCTACATCTATCCTCAACAACGAATCAAAATACAGATGCGTTGTCACCCGTGAGGACTAAGATGGAATGCCTCTTTCCCAGTAAAAAGGGTCGCCTGTTCTCTACACTCACCATACGAAACACAGCAGTGTTAAGCTGCTATTTTACGCTGTTATTCTGTAAGAGCGTGGTCCTTACCCGGTCGAGCCGACCCATTCGTGCTACAACTATACTATTAATATAGCTGCAGCATGGCTCTACCACGTACAGACACAAAATAGGTAACAGAACGTAGGTACGAACTTGATGAAATTTATATGGGACTACATGAAAAGCACCAGCTTTTAAATTAAAAAAATCATTGAATTAGGTTTACCCAGAAAAAAGTTCTGAGGTAACACACATTAAAAAAAACATACAATCAAATTGAGTACCGTCTCCTTTTTGAAGTCGGTAGAAAAAAGGTAAATGTTGTATTATGTAAAATGATTTGTTCTTTAACACATCGTATCTTCTTTTTCATTTTCATCACCCTGTAAATACTACAGCTGGACATGAAACTCCCATTGTAGCGAGGTTTTGCCTGACAAACGTAATGGTTAAATCCATTACGTTTTGCAGGTGGATTGACGATCTCAGTAACCATAGACTTAGAATTATACTGGCTTAGCACCAACAGACGTCTCGTACCTACTTTTGACGCTGCAGCTTGTTAGTATTTACCGGTGTTAGTATTTTCTATCGCTATCTATAGGGAGCTATACGATTTTTCTGATATTACCCAAAGACGCGTCGTATGACACTATTGGTCTAATGGTTGTAACCACTACTTTTGATTAAAAGGTCCCTGGTTCAAATCCTTGGTCAAAGAAATTCTCAGTAGTAATCCGAAGCCAGAAAGTCATCGGTGTTTTACCCTCTTGCCTCACTAAGATCTCCGGCCGTGCCGGTTTACCGTTCCATCCTACTACGAGTGAAGTAAAAAAGTAAAGTTGCAGCCTATATACGTCCCACTGCTGGGAACAGGCCTCTTCTCATTTCTGAGAGGGTTTTAGGGCAAGGAAATATCCGCCGCCCTACTCCAATGCATGTTGGCGAACTTAACATGTCTTCGAGATATTTTTTTTTATTTCTCAGGTATGCAGGTTTCCTCACGATGTTTTCCTTCACCGCCGAGCACGTGGTAAATCAGCTCTTAAAATTGCAATTAACAATTTTATTGGTGCCGGCGGGGTTCGAACCCGGGTTACTCGCGTACTGTGAAACTTACAGCGAGCGCTAACCATCTGAGCTACCACGGTTCTACGAGTGTGAGGCATTATGATGTGTAAACTACACCTGTGTTTGCGCACACACTCAGATACTATAATCCTGTCTAGCGCAAATGGCTAGTCTACAAAAATTATTTATTTATGATTATGGGTATTTAAGTTTAATGTATTGTTTTTTTTTTAATTTACAGGTAATATTGACTTCTATGCTGCAGTGAATCAACAACAACAGAACAAAATGGAGTTAGAAGACGTGGAAATGTATGGACATAACAACTACTCGTTTGCTGAAAATAGAACATTGAATGGAACCTACGAAAACTGTCCTAATATTAATTTACCTATTGTATATATCGTGACACAAATATTGTACGCTCTAGTATGTGTCGTAGGACTACTGGGCAATACGTTGGTTATTTACGTCGTACTCCGTTACTCAAAGATGCAAACAGTTACCAATATGTACATCGTCAATTTAGCCATCGCAGATGAGTGTTTTCTAATAGGCATACCATTTCTTATAATAACAATGTCAGTGCGCTCCTGGCCGTTTGGAAGTTTTATGTGTAAAGCGTATATGATTTCGACTGGTATAAATCAGTTCACGAGTAGCATATTTCTGTGTATTATGAGCGCTGATAGATATATAGCAGTGTGTCATCCGATAGCAGCACCAAGGCTACGCACACCGTTTGTATCAAGAGTTGTATCTGCCGCTGCATGGACCGCATCAGCTTTAGTAATGACACCTATATTCATGTATACGACACTAATTCATACTGAAAATGGACTATCTTGTAATATCGTGTGGCCGGAACAAGAATTTGCTAAAGGCCAAGCTTCATTCACTCTTTATTCCTTCGCTCTGGGTTTCGCCGCCCCGCTTACCCTTATCTTCGTCTTTTACTGTCTGGTCATCCGTAAGCTTAAGAATGTGGGTCCTAAAAATAAATCGAAAGAAAAGAAACGTTCACATAGGAAGGTTACCAAATTGGTATTAACTGTAATAGCTGTATACGTGTTATGCTGGCTGCCATATTGGGCGTTTCAAGTCGCTCTCATCTACTCTCCTCCTACTGAGTGTGCCAGTAGGATAACCATCACAGTATTTTTAGTTGCGGCCTGCTTCAGTTACAGCAATTCGGCTATGAATCCAATTCTGTATGCCTTTTTGTCAGATAATTTCAAGAAGAGCTTTTTAAAGGCGTGCACTTGCGCAGCTGGAAAAGATGTGAACGCTACTCTTCACGTAGAGAACAGCGTAATACCGAGAAAGAAAGGTGGTGCAACAGCTCGTGCGCAGGCCAGAGCCGCAGCTGAAACAAGAGGATTGACGGTACCTGATGGTGCAGCTGGTGGTTCCAGATCTGAAGCGTCTACAGCCGTGACTTCTCGTTCTGCAGTTGTTAGTGAAGCGATGCCGATGGATGTCAGACCTGCATCTTTAAGACCATTGATAGCTCCCAACGGTATATCGCATTCACGTCTCTGAGTGCGGGCCTCTCGCCGTCGGCGCGAGCGATCAAGTGTTGTGCTTGAAGAAGACACTTTAATCGTTTCCATCGATTAGGAATATAAAGACTGTACAAATGATCCATTTGTAACAGTTGCGGGACCTGAGCCCTGTCTCGCATACTGTTGGACTCCTACCGGGTCAAAATTAACTCCCTTAGCTATAATATTATAAATGTTTATCTTACAATATGGATTTAATTGTAATTTTAATTATTACGAACTTGTGGATAACTACAAAACGAATGGAGTTTCGGTTTCGGCCTAGGGTTGTAACGATGAATTTATTAATGTAGTTAGGTTTTTATCACATAGTGAATAGGATTACTATTTGTATACCGGTAATTATGATAATATTGTAAAAATGTACATATCGTGTAAATAATCACAAAAATGTCATAATGTTGGAATAAAATTATATTGATCTATCAGTGATTTCTAGTTTTATTTATCTCTAAAGAAATTATTTGTCAAAAATGCCTGTAATCCTCAAGGGGGTAAGCAGAGTTGAAAAAGTATGCTACTCTACCTAGTTTAGTCAAAAATGTGTGTTTAGATGGAAAATTGTGAAAGAAGTTATATATGTGGCTAGCACATCGCTTACATAACCATAATCAATCTCATTAGCCGTCTTTTACGACATGCTAGGCAATTAACACAGTTGGGACATTTATTTATGTTATAATTCCCACATTAACATGGGATTTACGAGTTCCACGCCAACATGGGACGAGAATTACTAAATAAATAAATAAATAAGTTAATTAAATAGGACTTATCATTCAAAATCAAGTGATATTCAACACATTGAATAAGTAGACGTAAGTAAAATGAGTGCACGTAAAATTTCGCTAGATAGGCAGTTATTACCAGTAGAAGTTCACAGTTGAACATGGTTTTCTATTGAAATTAAAAATATCCTAAGTTCAATAGAGGGGACGGCTGTATGCTATATATAAATTTAATCCAATTCCAAGCATATGCATGACTTCTGGAAAGTAAGCACGTTCTGCCTTAATATGACTAAAACTTAATACCCAAAAGTAAAAGGTAACCCGAGTTAACTAGCACATCATAATATCAAACACCTATGTTCCTCGTGACCATAAGTGCTGTAAGCACCCAAAACGTCGAGAATTAAAAAAATAATTTAACATCCATCCTTGTTTAAGAATAAAAATGCAGATGCGTTGTCACTCCCGAGGAATTAGATGGAATGCCTCGTATCCAATAAAAAAGGTTCTCTGGTTCTCGACAGTTACCAAAAACAACAGCAATAAACTGATATTTTACGCTGGTTCTCTGTGAGAGCGTGGTGCTTCCTTGGTCGAGCTATATAGCTGCAGCGTGTTTAACACGTAAATGATATTTATCAGTTGACATAGAAGTTACTTATATCCCATGACAACTAAAACAGAGAAAAGGCTTAAGTGGCATTCCTTTAATAATACAACCAGTGGAGCAAATAATAGCTCGAAGAAGTCATATTAGCGAATAAAGCCCTTTGAATATTAAAATGGGCACATAGTAGACATCAATCATCGTGAACATGCCCGAAAAGGAGGAAATGAGGTCAATATACACGAATACACAGTTAACCCTCTTACAAAAACTCTTGTCATTTTCGCTTCGTCATATCTAAAAATATAAATAATATATTATTTTTTATATTGCAGTATTTTTGCCGTGTGTTACAGTCTAAATACGTCCCACTCATAGGCATAGGCCTTCTTTCATTTCCGAAAGAGTTTTCAGGGCCAGAAAAACACATCCAAAAAAAAAACTTAAAACTGATAAAATCCGTAAAAATATTTTTATTCAGTGTGTCAGGCATCCTTATTTTTCTTTCTTTTTTTCTTAAAACAAACGTAACCTCCACACTAGGATTTTCTCCTATATCGCGGGAGCAATTTACAAACATAAATTGCCCAAGGACAAACATCCAGACCTGGAACAATTATTTGTAGGCCATACGAATTCTTGTTCCGTGCGAGATTCGAACCCGCGGCCCTCAGCGCTACAACTCAACTGGTAAGTCGCTGCGCCACGGAGCCGTTTATTAGAACTATAAAAACATTTCTCTTTAGACCAATGCTAGATAAATACCTATTCAATTATACGCTATATGATACTTTTCTGGATAGATTTGCTCATATTCACCACGCTGGGAAATGGGGTGGTAACTGTGTTGCACTCGCACTGGTTATAATGCTGTCAATGACCAATTTGTGGGTTTGGGGTGTAGCATGAGCAAATACTATTTGAGCTTATTCGAAAATCCCGAAAAACACCTATTTAAAAATAATAAAGCGATGTTTAAAAGTATTTATCTGATACATTATTATTCAACTGTCACCCGAGCTTGTTGGCTCCGTCGTACAGTAGTTACTTGTTCTGATCTGGATGTTTGCCTTGTGCAATTTAAGTACGTAAACTGCCTTCACAATACAGAAAAAAATGTTAGTGTACGGTAACGTATAATTTTTTTAAAGAAACAGAAACTTGCATAAAGGTTAAAACAGTAATTTAAAAACCCATCTGCGAAAAAGTTTATCGAGAAGAGAAAAAAATTATACAATTTATCACTTCTACAACTTATGAACATCTAACCCGTATGTTAAATTCCATCAAGTCATTCAGGCTAGACAGGGTGCCAAAGAAATTGACAAACAAACGTATATAAATACATAAATACTTAAAAAACATACTGGGGCAGAAAATAAGAAAAACAAGTTTCGTTTGTTAATATGGATGTAAAGGGGAGATCTCCCGCCGAGCAGTATACAGCCCAGGAGCGACCAACGCTCCGAGTAGTAGTTTGGAGCTATTCTATACATACTGCTTTACTTCGGAACTTTGATAGTTTCGATGTGCTTGTGTTGCGACGACAGCGCCGCCACAAGAGGGTACTCTTACAAACTACGTTAAACATTTTTTTTGCTTAGCATAACATGCAGATTATATGACTTAGAAACACGTGAGCAAGCTACGTAGAGCTGACCGTGGCAAAAACATAGCGTGCCTTTAAGGTATATACATGTGACTTGTCTTGACAAAAGTGAGATCTCTCAAGGGGGGCGATCACCAATTGAAAGCTTCTGCTTTCACTTCACTGTATTAGTTTATCAACTTCATTGTACATTTAATTAACTACAAAGTCAACCAAATCAACGTTTATTGGAATTAAAACAAGTGACACTTGACACAAGTAAAGAACAGTAGGTCAAATTTCAATATTCAAACTTCCGGGTTCACTCAGCACAGAATTCCAAACACGGGAACGAACGCGGTCTCTTCTTGAGTCACAAAGTTCAGCGTTTTCCCGAACAAGTCAAATTCTTTCGTACGATATTAAATGCCACAAAGCAACTAGTCGAATCAAATTAACGTCAACCCGTCACGAAACGTTAATCGCCACATCAGTTGACCGGGCGTTAGCGGGGGAAAGCGAGCGGGGGAGAGAGGCCCAGCAGCGAAAAATAAATTTAAAAATTAACATTTAGCCCAAATACCGCTAATTAAAAAACAGCACCACTTAGAAAAAATATTATGTCAATGTGTGAAGTGGGTGGAAATGGTCAATAACATACAATAAAATTCCGCATATTTATAAAGAACATCTTATGAGAATATTTAAATTTAAGCTGACTGCATTAATATTAGAAAAATGTTATTATTGTATAAGGGATTCTTAAATTAAAAAATGGATTGTAAATGACATAAACAAGAATTTAAATTAAATATGAATGACATATGAGTCGTTAATTTGCTATCAGAATTGTATCTTTTAGTTTACTATGTATGACTTTGCATGCGTAAGGTAGAATGTAGCGGAAACACTTGTTGATGTCCCATCTTATACCTGTACCTACATTGTGGCAAATAAAGAATCTGAATCTGAATCTTGTTATGACTAACTACTATCTACCAAAAAAAATCTTGTAATATTATTATCTATCTAATATATTACATAAAATCTCTGCATGCGGACTTTGCGAGGTTTTGTTAATGTGTTCAAGCTTTTCAAATTCTTTTAAATCTCTGTTATAAATGTATTTGAAGAAACTTTAATTCATTTTCAATAATGATTCAAATCGCTTTCAAAACTAAATTGTTATTGACGTAGGTTCTAAACTACGAGTATGAGTAATATTACCCTTTTTTGATCTTGTAACAATTTGTGATTTTTATTAAAATTAAAATTTGTTTACGCCTACAATGTTGTTTTTGTTATTTTGATAATATAAAATAAATAAATATGATTATACTCATTATTTCTTAATATTATTACATAAACATCGACATTGCACTTTAATATATCTCAAAAAAAATGGTCTTATTTGGATTATTACTTAGAAAATATAATTTTGATTTTAACTGAAAAAACAAAGTTTTATGTCTTTGCGTTTGTCTAATATGTTTTAAAGTACAGCAATTACTTTGTTATAGTACATAAAATTTTGCCTCTTACATAAAGAAAATGGTCCAACCGGCAACCGATAGGGAAGAAGACCAATCATTAGCGACCTCGTATCGGTTAGCAAAGTATACGTTTTTTTTGTTCTTTTTTTGCGCCCAGAAGCAATTGGAAAAAGGGCTACCCTTTACGTAGGGAGGCGGAAAATGTTTTATACATACCACAACAGCCGGTCTGTCGTGGTTATGCGGGACTCACTGTGACTAACCTACGTGGGACCTAAGTGGTACCCGCTAAAAACCGCCTGTGGGACTGGCAACTAGCTGTTTAAGCTTTTTATGCCGGTTCGGAAGCGACCCTCTTTTGGGAGAAGAGGGCGCAGGCGGCTAAGAGTCGCTGAGGGGGGCCTATTAAGGCAAATTTATAATGAAAATTTATTATAGAGTTGGCCTGAGCCGCCAGGAGGCAGTTCAGGTCGTTTGATAGTTTATTAGGCGGGTCCGAGAGGGAGTTTCTCGGCCTGCGGACTCGATAGCGAGAGGGGGGTGGTGCTGCATAAGTAG